CCATTTTTTATTTTTTTTTTTTTTTTAATAAACCTCCCCAAATTGTCTCTAAAAGTCTCTGACCAGACCAGGTGAAAACAGATAAAATCTCCCAAATGAGAGCTAGGAGATAACAACAGGAAACATTAATTCTTAACAACAGATGATAAACATTTTGCTGATAGGGGTGTGCCAAATATTTAGCAGCTAACCATGGATCTAGTGAAGTCTTTTGTCTGAACCCCCATTTGCCAAAAAATTCAGTAAGGACAACTTGAAAATCATTTCAGTGTGCGCATATATATATATATATATATATATATAGTAGAGAATTATAGAAAAAAAAATCTGTGAATACTTATGGGAACAGCAGCAAAGCTTCTCTTAACCAGAGATGAGAAAGAGGTGTAAAAACGTCTGACTGCGTGGAACAGCAAGAGCTATGGACAGAAATAATATCAATATAACAGTACAACTTCTCACAAACACAGTAATTTATAGTTGTAATGCTTCTATTTATGCTAGCATTTTTTTATGAAAACAAACCACTTTTACATTAAAATTTTTCTAAAAACAAAAGGGAAAGCCCCATGTATAATTTTAAAGATAATTTTAGGAGGAAGAAATGACTAAATGCTAGGAAAGAATGGCAACTGCGGCTTTCGATACTTCCTATGGGATAGGAAAACTGAACTAACACTTTTCAAGATAAAGTGGGCAGATCTTATTTGTAATGTATTGAAAATACACAGGATACCAGTAGAGAACTGTATGTTAACAATTATTTAACTATTTGAATCATTGCACTCAGGTAATATAAACCAGATGTTTTATTGTGACATTATATTAATAGCAAATACCACAGGAAAATCTTATATAAGTAATAAGGAAAATTCCCCAAGCTAACCCCTTTTAGTCAAAAGAAGTAGTAATAATTTTGAATTAAAGATTTGTTTTATTATGGACTCTGAGTGCTGATTGAAACATTTCCCACGGTTTGTGCATAAATCCAGTCACTAGAGCTGAGAATGTGCAATCTTTCCATCAACAGAGCACTAACAGCAGCTCTCCACCCAACTGCCTAAGAAGTTTTATTTCAATCAAATTCACTTGTAATTGGTCTATTACAAAAGTTAGAATAGGGATCAGAAACACAAGGATAAACGTAGAGATGCAGACCATATTAACTTACCAGGACTCACAATCTCTTGATTGTGCTGTAGGAAGTGCTAGATTTTAATACACAAACCATAGGAAACACGTGTTGGTCTTATTTCTGACCCTAAATGACGTTTACTCTTGAAAACAGGTATATGCTCTTGAGGAAAGTTCTACCCTCTCCCCTGTCACCTGAGATTCATACACTTCTTGGGAAAGCAGACCTTCTCTGCCTAGGTGTAAATGAGATGGTGTCTACCAGAGCTGTTGATAAAGGAAACAGGACTTCAATTAGAAATTACATCTTTCAAGTTCATAATAAAAATAGGATAAATATGAAGTCACATCTGTGTCCTGGGTTCAGCAGTAGCAGTCATTTTTCTCCTTCTTGGTAGCTGGTGCAGTGCTGTGTTTTGGCTTTTGGCCTGATGTTTTGGTCTGGCCAAGGACTTTGTGAGCCTCGTGCTCCACCAGAGAGGAGGGGAAGCCGGGACGAAGCAGAGACAGGACACCTGACCCAAACTGACAAAAGAGGTATTCCATAACTCAGCACATCATGCCCAGGATGTAACTGGGAGTTACCCAGAAGGGCTGGGAGACTGCAGGGTTGGAGGAGGTATCATCGGGCAGAGCTTGGTCGGGCTGGAGGGGCGAGTTATCGGTCAGCTGGTGGTGAGATATTGTATTCTCTTCCCTTGTTATTTCCTTTATCATTATTATTATTGGTGGTAGCAGCAGTGATTTGTGTTATACCTTAGTTACTAAACTGTTCTTATCTCAACCCGTGGGAGTTGCATTCTTTTCCATTCTCCTCTCTGTCCCTCTGGGAGTAGGGGGAGGGAAAGAAGGGGGAGAGTGAGTGAATGAGTTGCCTGACTGGGTTTAAACCACGACAATCTGTAATTATTTTTTTTTATGTCTGTACATAATCAGAATACAAGAGCAGCTTATTTAAAATTTTAAAAAAAGAAAATCTCACCAATGCAAGGTGTCTTGAGTGCTACCTGCTCTTTTGGGCGACAAAAGCTTCAGGTCTCAATCTAGTCCCTGCAGGTGCATTTATGAATTTTCTCCATTTTCAGAGAGGTCATAGCTCAGACCTTAGTTATTCACTGCAGTTGCTGAATGAATGTGTCTTCGGCTTATTATTTTCAGGAGCCACAACCAACCATACCTTGTGACATGAAATCTCTTAAAAACTAACCCATTTTTGAGAACCAAGATCATAAGATGCAGAGCAGTAACTACTTGTGATATGTAGCCTCATGGAACTTTGGGGAAAGGGAAAAAGCGGAACTATTTCAGATGTTCTCAGTGGCCAGTCTTTCAGGAACAGGTTGGAAACCAGCTCTATAAATCTACATTTTCAGGGGTTTTTTTAGTGGTGTCCCTAATGACTTTCTTTTTCTGGCTGTATGCTGCTACAGTCATGTTGCACTTCTATAATCCCAAGTATTTGTTGCACTTGGTGTCATGTTGAATTAGATTGGGAATCCAGGTGACACATGACATGGCCATATAAACAAATGTGCTGGTTCAGAGCATTTTAAGAACTGAGTTATTAGCAATAAAAATACTACTGTCTTATTTTTGTTGCTAATACCTCTGTCCCTGTCTTATGATGAACCTATCAATGTTGCTGGGATTTATCCTACATTTACTGTCATGTCTTTTTGTTTTTCCAGTATTCATATGTTAATTTATATTAGTAAATTCATACAAAAAAGTGACTATTAGCAAAACAATCATATCTTTTGTGAAAGTTATTACAGATCAATATTGCTAGATTATTCCATTATGTGCCATAGCAAATATGTAATTGCTATTGTCATCTTACTATGAAGAGATGAATCATCCAAAAAGTCCTCCTGGGATTCTTTAATTTCTCAAGGTCTTAATTCACTAAATTCATTCCTAAGTGAGATTTTCCACCTTTTTTACCTACAATTGTGGAAGAATTAAAAAGAAAAAATGAAAAAGAAATTGAGTACCATGAGATAAATACATGGCTAAGATTCAGGACTCCAGTTGTGTAAATATTACTACATTCCCAAAACAAAGTTATCATAAGAGATCAGACAACGGTTACATTACCAGCGGCCTTACTACACGCTTCAGAAAACAATAAGCATCCCATAATGCACCTAGACAAATGTGAAATGTTTTTACAGACAAAGAAAATGTTCCCCACCCCTGTGTGCAAATTGCTCATGGAAATTAAAGCACGATTAATGACACTTCAACCTGCATACCCATAAACATTCTCTTTTGTTTTTTCAGTTAGTCACAGAAATGCAGCTCATCAGGAATTGTGTTTAAGTAGAAATACCCATTCAACAGCTCAGGTATTCAAAAGTGGCCCTATTAGAAATTAAACTGTCATTTTATCATTTTGTTAACATCAAAATTTATAGGACAGTTCAAAGCTCAGCACTTAGACTGCCTGAAAACTCTGGAAAAAGCTCTCCAGAATTACACATTCAACTCACATTTTCAGAGTCAGGAAAAGAAAGCCTGCGTTACAAAGCATGCAACTGAAACAAATGCTTTATATGAACAATAAATTACGTAGCTATGAAATGATGGAGAACAAGTGGCACTGACTATCAGTCATTTTCTCAGAGTTCCCTTAAATCTGTGCTTGAACAATGTGTCAGCTTTTAATACTGACTTTCATTTTGTTGCCGTCACAGCTGGGTCTACAGGACAGTGAATCATAATCATTTCTCTTCCTTCACAGAAGTTGTTAGCAAAGATAACACTTCAAGCCAAAAGTAGGATTCATTTGCTGTTGTTGGCAACGTTGAAAAAATAATCTTGTAATTTTAGTAATATTAATCTGCCATTTCATTGAGAAAACTGAGGATTTTACATTGTTGTATGTATAGGAGGATTCCCGACACACTGATAAAACTGACAAACGAGATTAGTACATTTATAAACACAAGTGCATATAAAAAATTACACTCCACAGAGACTTATTTTTTCTACTGGCATGTAGAAAAGGAAAATGGAAAGCAAGCCTTGAGTTAACTGTCAATAAGCCACAGAAGACTACTTGCATATACTGGCTGAAGAACAGACACTTAAAGTTACTATTACAAATCTTAGATCTGACAACAGCGGTTTACATAGCTAAACATGAGTTTTACTTTACATCTCTCCAGTATTTTTATGTCTAAATGCATATTTTAAATTTGACAGGATGATCAGGTGCCTGGAGCACCTCCCATTTGAAGACTGGCTAAGAAAGTTGGGGCTGTTCAACCTGGAGAGAAGGCTGTGTGGAAACCTCATAGCAGCCTTCCAGTACCTGAAGAGTGCCTACAAGGATGCCGGAGAGGGACTCTTCATCAGGGACTGTAGCAATAACACAAGGGGTAACGGGTTAAAACTTAAACGGGAAGTTTAGATCAGATATAAGGAGGAAATTCTTTACTGTAAAGGTGGTGAGGCACTGGAAGAGGCTGCCCAAAGAAGTGGTAAATACTCCATCCCTGGCAGTGTTCAAGGTGAGGTTGGACAGAGGCTTGGGAGGCATGGTCTAGTGGGAGATGTCCCTGCCTATGACAGGGGGGGTGGAACTAGATGATTTTAAGGTCCTTTCCAACCCTAACTATTCTATGATTCTATGATTTGTAACTCCCAGTGAGTTGCATTCACTTTGATAATTGATTTTCAAATTAAAGCTCAGATTCCAGACAACCTAATGCAGGCCCACACCAATCAGTTCTATATTTTTTCAAGTCTTGTTTGTATACTGCTGATATCTCATATACAGTAAATAAGTAGCAGTAACAGTAAATAAGTTTGAATAAAAACTACATTTGAATGTCAATTGTAGGCAACCGCAACCAAATTACATCATTTTGATGTTTATTGTGGCTAATATATCATTATAGGGTGTAATTGGAATTACTAAATCATATTTCTGATAGCATACATACAAAATAGCTTTAACTCTCAAACATATCCACAATACTCTGGAAAATAACCCTTATTATGTGACTAAAAGGAAACCCATCCTACTCAGTTGTGCAAGTTCATCCTAAATTAGTGACATACACAATCTTTATTCCTTTGCAGTGAAGCAGTTGCCTCTTTAAAGGCAACCCCCCCCCCCCACATTCCTCCAACCTGCATTCTAGAATTTAATATATGAAAAGTAAATTACACCATTGAAACATTTTATAATAACAGAATGAACATTTCTGTAATGTACACACACAGTATACACTGCCATGTTGCTAAAATAACACCACTGGTAATATGAGGATTCAATGCAAAAGAGGTTATGAACCACATGTCATTCTGTTTCAGGGACAATCTTCCTACGTGGGAGAGCTTTAGAAGTAGTCTGTTTGCAGCCCACTACAGGGATAACAGGACAGTGAATGCTGCACTGTACTGTACATCCGAAAGTTCTTTTTATCTCTAGCAATGTAGGGAGAATCAGCATGTAAGGCTGCTTCCATTCTTATCTGTGGGAAACAAGAGGTGAGAATAAGGTCAGAACAAAACTGATATGCAAATGGTGAAAGAAAAGATGTATTTCTACATGTTCCTCAGGCTGCATACCCTTCAAAATGGTATGCAAGAATATAGGGAAAAAAAATCATTGTTAAAGGAGAAACGTGGTTAATATGCTCTCAGCCTTCTCATGTCTCTGTTGGAAGTGGCATTTCTTAAGAAAACCACAAACCAAAGACAAAAAAAAAAAAAACACAAAAAAACCCAAACAAACAACCCCCCAAAAAACAAACCCACCCCCCCCCCCCCCCAAAACTGCCAGGAAAACCCCCCATTTCTCAGCATGGAAAACCCAAGTATAACTGAAAAAGAAAACATCCACCTGCCCCCAAAACCACTTACCAAAAATTAACGATGGCTGTTGCTTTTCAACTTCTGAACTTTGATGCCTAACAGCTAACTAATTTTCAATGCCTAACAGCTAACTAATCTTCAGATCAATTTTCTGCATAATCTTACAGATTTAACTATACACAAATCTAGAAGTCCAACTCTTAAAAAAGCAGAACTATGTTGCACAACAGATTGCAATGTGTTGTGATCTGTTACAAATTACATTAATATATACTTTTCAGTCTAGGATATACAGTACAGTAAAATTAAGTGTAGAGAGCAGATGCTTGCCCAAATTCTGTACTGGTGTAATCAAGATGAACTTTTCATAGTAAGAATTCTATATATTTTTCTTTAGTATTTTGTGGGTATGACTGTATTTATCTGTAAGTTTATGTATACATGGGTGTAGATATTTAATTCAAACACTGAGTGCTCATATGTGTATACAGAATAAGATTGTACCTTTATACATTCCAATTAACCCTAAAATGGAACACTAAGTCAATAGCCTACAAATTAAATACCTCTGTCCTATTTTTAAAGAAATTACAATAGATGTTTTGACTTGGTTATAAAAAATCTTGTACTGTTGTTGTGGTATTGTACAATTATAAACGCCAAAGCATTTTAATACCAACTTAAAAAAATTACAGACATGTGTATTTCAATAATCTTTCCTTTTCTTAATATTTACACAAGGAAGCACACTGACCAGAGCTATCTGCCAGAACGGGAACATCAGGCCAACAGGCAGAGGCACAGGAAAAGTAAAATATTCAACTCCATTAAACACCACTCCATTGTGTATTTTCTAGAGATTATTCTTTGATTTACTGTGGAAAAATGATGATAACACTATTCCATTTAAAAACTTCCTTATGTACAAATACCCAGGACAAACTACAGTTACCTTGTCAATTCCTTTGCATGTGGTTATTTCCAAGAAAAATATATACATACATTTTATACTTTTTGCAGAAGAATGGAAAGTATGGTAAGTGCATCCTGATTACCATGGACATATTTCATTCTCAACATTACTTGGAGGTTCGAGAGTTAAAGCAATTCCCTACTACACTGCTTACTCCATTGTCATTTCTTCATGAAAAAAAATAAAGAGAAAAGGATGAACAGAACCAAATCTAAACAGCAGCAAGTGGCCATGGCTTCAGATGATAAGAAGTCATAGCAATTGGTTAAACAACTAAAAGTCACAGCAATTGGTTAAACAACTAAAATATTTAAGTGAAAATTAAGAACAAAAATATTTAGTTTAGTATTTGTTGTCAAAAATGTTCTGAATTCTAGCTTACCAGAAGCATAGTACTAATTACATTTTATGAGAAAAGAATATTTGAAGTTTGTCATGGTGAGCCATCTTTTGTGGATGCTGGGCTCAGCCTTCCCTTAATTTAATCTATTTTGGAAGTTACAGAACTACAGACAAGTTTCACATGACAAACTCATACCGTATAATGAGAAACCTCCAGGGGAAGCTGAAGAAAGATGATGTGAATTTCAAAGCCCTGTTAGAAATGCACATATGAGAAACTGTTTCCTCCTCCAATACACATTTTTAGGATTTCAAATTTCTCCAGACTCAGCTTCTGCCTTGCTTAAAATTAGTAACTCAGAATATAATTTCTCAGATTACAGGTTATTTGGAGAGTAATTTTCCCGTTTTTTTTTTTTCTTAAATTGTTCTTCTTTAAGTAGTTCAACATTCACTGAAGGAGGAAGGCAACTCCAGAGTTTAGAAAATAGTGCTTCCTAAGATTTAGGAGATCTAAATTCAAATGTTTTCCTCTGTCCCAGGTGAACAGCCTAAACTGACAGTCTTTCTTTTTGACCTTGGATTTGCTACTGCAGTCCAAGCTCTCATTCCTCTGTGCAGCAAAGGAGCCATTTTGTCTTCCACTGAGAAAAACAGTCACCTTCTCCTCTAGTCTCAGAGACTTTACCTCTGCTAAATCTCTTCTCCCATTTTGTTTTATCCCATATTTTATTACTTTTCAAAAAAAAAAAAAAAGAAAAATAAAGATCTGCTTTTGCCTGGGTTTTGTGGGTTGGAGGAGACCATAAAAAATTATGTTGCCTTACTATTTGATTTCAAAATTAGAGTATCCAAATGCTTCTGTCCCTCATTTTATTTCATTTTCTCTTGCAGAATATTGTTGCCTTTTTTCTGCAATTTCAGATAAATCTATTGTTTTAAAGCATAGCCTTTTCATGCACCTCAGTATAGAAATCACCCATTTTACCCTCACAGAAATCTTTACAAAATAAAAGTGAAATAAATACCAGCATTACTGAAACATCTTCAAGAAGATAACTAAAAGATAGAGGTTTCTAAGGCTATGATATGTATAACTAAATATCTTTCAGTTAATTCGTTTCTTGAAGGCAGTATCAGCTCATCTGTTGGCTAAGAGTTTGTAAACCTAAGCTCAGTTTCCAAGCCAAGGTCAAATACCTTCACCAAACATTTTTTTAAATTCTGAACTTAGCACAGCTTACCTGCTTCCTTCACCTTTCCCATTCCTATTAGTGTAGATACAATTTTACTTATGAAAAAGCACTCCTACTGTTATAGATTTTTCTATTCTTATTCTAACATAGCTGCATCTAATTGAGAAGTGGGTACTGTAGTATTGTAAAGTTTTTCCACGTAGTTGCAGCTACAGCCATACTACAGCTTTGACTGCATAAGTAATATGGGAGAATCTGAATATGACAATAGAAATCTTCAGGCTTTGACAAAGCTATGCTCATTTTGCAAGTGAATGAAGCTTAGGCGTCTACATCACTTTAAAAAATGGAAAAATACCTTAAAATTTTACTCACTTTTCACCAAGAGGCAACCATGTATTGTAAAGTACTGGAATCAATCTAAAAATTGGAATCAAGTAGCACCAACAATGCACAGGCACTTGCAAAAGAACAAAACCAAAATGTTAAATAACTTTATAAAGAGCTAGGGTGAGGCTATCCTTATGCATTGACACCAGTGCAACTAATGCAAAGGCTATTTTGATCCCTGTGGGATAAGTTGTTGAAGAACTGTAACATGGTCAATTGTTTCATGTTAGGCTACTAAAGGCATATTTTGATTAACTTAGAAGGGGCAATGGAGATCTTATGGAACTGAAGAATCTGTTAAGTCTGTTTTTTTTTCCTTCTGCCTCCAAAACCAGTGTGAAAAGATACCCTTTTTTTTAAAAAAGTATTTCCACTGTGCCTTCACAGAGCATAACAAGCAACAAATAGGTATGTCACAAAATGTTGTGAAACAGAGAAATTGATAGTTACAGAGGACATTTAACAAATATTACGCAGTATTTATACCATGATCTTGGCAGAGTTACATAGCGACTTTTTTCTACTAATTTCCTCACAATCTCTCTGTAAAAGAAAATAGCCGTTACTCTCATGTTTAAGTCAGCTAACGATGGCTACACAAAAATCCGGCAAAAATTAAACTCTTTCACATCCATTGCTTGAAGTAAGTTTCCTTTATTTTTTTTTGTAGGAGGACCTAAGTCCTGCAATCAAAGAGGCATCTTTAGTCAGTTTTATGATATTCCATTAGCATCTCAATCTGTGAACACTGAGATTTCTCTTTTGTGGCCTACTTCTTGATTTATGTTGTACAGAAATTTTTGGCAAGTATGATCACCTGAGGACACTCACCTGAAAATATGAACTTTTGCATAATCATGCTTTTATAATATGTATTGATATAAGGTAAATGCTCAGCTGGCTATTTCAGTTCTTTGAAAATATAAGAATATGGAGAAAAGCCAGCAAAGAATGATCATGGATGGCCTACTGCACAGCATCATTACCTCACAGGGTTTAGCTTGACCTAGATTGTAAAAAAAGATTCATACAGAGAAAGTTATTTCCAGCTTCCCTATTCCATGTAAGAGTGAGATTTTAAAAACAAAACTCAAACAAAACTCTGTATATTTTTTACTCTGCTTTATTTTGGGGATTTTGGGTTGCTGCAATAAACATCAAAGCTGAAAAGCAGTTGTGACCACTCATTGCTATTGAAAATGGTTAACTTCCATCTTTATCTTCTAAAGAACTGAAAACCAGCTTAATTTTATAATCGGGCTTTAAGATCATAAACATGAATAGCTCAATAGAAGACAAAATACTCCAAAACTACTGCTAAAATAATTACCTAAATGTTTTACATACAGCAGTACTGTTTGCACTAAACTATTAGCTCCATATCATACAACTTCGCCAGTACTATAGCAAAAATGATTAACACTCGTATGTTATCAAATAATTTGTTAATTTACCAATGAAAAACAGAATAGAAGACTCCTTGTAACATACTGTGGCTTTAGATCCATCTCCTTAACCTGATCATCCTGCTATTTCAGCATTTATAAAATGAATGGACATATTGGTGAGTCTTGTAGGATAATCAGAATGAAAAAACCAATACTGTATGAGACAGGTAGAAGGACACTATGAAAAAGAGCAAATTAATACAGTAACATTTAACACTGCTTTTCCCAATGGACAGTGTTGTGTAAATAGTTGTAACTGAAGCTGAACAACCTAACCAGCAAGACCGCTCTCCCTCCTAATTACACTACATCAACAGAAAGACTTAATAGGTTCACCAATTACAGTAGGTCTCCAACTGTGCTAAGGCTAGCAGGTGGGCAAGCTTTTATTGCTGCTACACAGACACTTCTTAAACATTCTTTTACTTTCGGACTGGCTGCTCAGGGACAATGTCCCACCTGTCCTCTGACTAATTAAGTAGTATCAGTACTGTTACTTGTATATATTTGTGCCCCCTGCTATTTATAACAGGTTTATAAATATATTTTATATCTATATATAATAGAAAAATATAAAAAAAGATAAATCAGCACTCTAAAGTTTTCAAATCTTTCAAATCTAAAGTAATCAATAAACACATGTGTACATAAATACGGATGTTAATATGTGCATAAGAAAAATGGTTCCTGTAAACTATCAGCAATTTAAAGAGAAGACTGGTTTATCTGTAGTAAGATACTGCCTTCACAGTTCACCATTATTTCTTCTTCTTGATATACTAAAATTCACATGTAATAAAACTCTTCAGTTGATTGAAATATATAGAAGACGTGCGAGTTAAAATTAGAACATTTATAATGCACTTAAAACTTAAGACCTACTTAAATTACTTTTAGAGTAAATCTCAAGGCAGTGAAGAATAGTCCTGCAATGATGTTAAAGTACAACATGTATGAACTGCAGACCTGCATGTTTCTTTGGAAATATTTAGAATACGATACTGCCTCTCTAGCCTTTACAGCAAATATAACAAACCAGCAATGCTACTTCCATTGCAACTGTTTTCTTTAACAATATCCAGTGGCCTTAATTACAAACTCCACAAACTATTTCATAACTACAACAATAGATAGCATATTTCCTACTGTCTCGGAGAAAGAGGGATTCAGGAAGGGTTTGAATTTACTTTGAAGTTCTTAATCAGAGAGACAGAAGTACAGAAGAAATCAGAGTTGATTGTTATGATTGCTTTGACCTTTCTTTTTTTTTTCCCTTTTTAAATAAAGATTTTATTTTTCTGCTTGATTTTGAATATTTCTAATTAAAACATGTTTCTTTTCTGTGATTGGCCAAAGGAGATTGAGTCTTGATTTAGTTAATGAGCAAGAATGTGAAAAATGTTCACCAGCAAATGTAGTCTGGCCAAAGGAACTATACTGTGTTTGGGCTGGGAGTGTGTACCTCTAAGTGGCTGGCAGGTTTTGAGCTGCTTCATTGTATAACGTAGTAAAATTCATTATCAACAGGTTGCAGTTAATGAAGCCTCTATTTATTTTGGGTTCCCAGAAGCCTTTGAAGAAAAACTTTCTAGGAGCAGGAACAAAAACTGAACTACATCTGGGTAGAAGAAAAGTGGAAGAGTTCATCAAATGGAAATTAAACTACCCATGCACTGATGTCATTCCACATTTCTGGCATGCATAATGTGAAATCAAATAGGTACTAGCTGCTGCATGCTGTGTCTGTGAAATCTGATGCTTTTTGCTCTTCTTTTGGCAAATTATAATCTTTATTCAAATTTAAAGTAGGGCTTATAACACCTGTGCTTCATTTGACAATTGCTATAAAATTCTAAGTTTGCATTTGCTACAGTAGAGGAAGTTATACAAATTACTATTTTGTCTACACTGATAGGATCACATCTGTACAGGATAGGTTTTTCCTTCTTCTGTGCATTTATGAGGGAAGAAAACATAGGGGTCTCTGGTACTTATTAGACATAGTCAATCTTTCAGTCTTTCTACTGGATGTCCAGTTCAGGTAACTAAAGAGTCTAAAGAGCAAAACCTCATATGCTGTGCAAAGAAACTGTTCTACAAGAAAGGAAAAAGTTCTCTCAGACCATCAGGTTGAAGTTTTGGACAATAGTGTGTACCTGAAAGTTTATACAGATTTTTCTCAGGATCACAATAGTCATTACACATTCGTTAGCAAACAAAAATAAAACAGTGAATCCAGTAGGGTACAACTGTAAAGACAATGGCATATGGAAAGAAAGATGACTTCCTGGCATCAATGCAAACTGTTCATATTTCAAGTGCATGGAGAAAAAGAGAAATGTCACAATTTCAAAATTTCATACATAGCAAGTATAAAGCTATTAATTTTTTCCACATTTCACTCTTACTCAGAAACATCAGCCCATTTAAACTAAGGGATTAGCTCTGCATGCATGTGTGTGCACGAATATCAAAGGCTTCACTTACCTAAAAAACATTTTAGTAAAATACAGAAGGAAGGTGAAATAAAAAGCTTGGGAAAAATAACTGTCTTTTCCCTTGGGGAGTGCAGTAGTTATGGTTGAGCAAGAAATCTGCTGCCTTACCATGGACTCTCCCCTTCCTCTCAGTTAATACCTGGTTTATTTCTGTCTTTGTGTCTTTCCTCAGAGCTTATGGAAAAAAGGAAAAAAGGAAAAAAAAAGCATGAAAATAAGCAAAACCAAGCAAACAAAAAAAGCTAAAGATCTTATTCACAGATGCTTACACCACAGGTGCTTTGGAGGCTAACTTTTGTACAGGCTTATGCGCAAGAACAGAGGAAACACTACAAGAGCATAAGAGTGACAGACAATGCAGAAGGGAGGGGGGTATGTAATAAGGGGAAAGCAACACTATCAGAGGGAATAAAGAAATTGCTCTTGAGGATCAAAGTCTTCAATTACGAGCATGATACTTGCCATTTATTAATGCAATTAAACAGACAGACCTAGATATGACTGCCACAAAGAGATTATTCTAGTGTTTAACAGAACAAAGGATGCTAGCTAAGTGCAAGACATACATTCCTTTCTAGACAGATAAGACACTGACGCATTTCATTTAAAACCATTTCTTTCAGTTTTGTCCTCTTCACTTGTTTCAAGGTCTCCTTGTTACAATTTCAGCTCTAGTTTATGCCTTAAATCTCCTTTAGCAGGGTATGTGCATGCAATTGGCAATCCTTGATGAATCCTTAAGATGAATCTTAGTTCAATGATGCACTGCTTTCTTCTTGGGTAATTATCATCCTGATTTGTATGTATCTGCAATCAGTCTAATCTAACACCAGTTGAAAACTGTTTTCCGATATTCTTTTGTGGTCCCCTCACTTCCGTCTCTTACTCTAAATTTTTGTCCTGGGGGTGCAGAAACTGTGTGGCAGACTGGGTTTAAACCATGACAATTTTAAAAAACATCTATTGCACTGGCCCCTAAACCTCATCACACTTTTAAAAAACAGACTAATAATCTCAGTGTGCTTTTCAAAGTTCCCTTGCTGTATTTAGAGCTTTAATTCTACCTGATCAAATTACAGGAATACTAAAGAATCCATCACATTGTGCAGGCATTCAGATATACTCGATTTCTACCCATCTCTCCAGTTTCCAGAAAAAGCCATGGTAACAAGTATGCCTTTTCTTTAATCAGTTATCAACTCAGTACTATAGGTAACATGCTCTCTGAAAAGACTTTTTCCTTTCTGTTTCTTCAAACATTGTTTGCTCCAGTCCAACTTTAATTACTTTACATTAAACTTAACACTCATTACCTGTAGGTTTCGGTCTCATTGTAAACTGCACAGGAGGGAACAACTGCACAATTCAGATGCAGCACCAACTTAGCAAATGCTGAAATCTATCCTTCCATTATCAGCTGTCAGGATAATTTGATGTGCATGTATATTAAAAACATACACTGCATTTTCCATCACAAGTATCTGCCTGCTGTTTTGATGCTTTCCAGTCACACAGCTTCTCTTGCCTACAATCCCCATCTGCTATCATTCCTTTCACTCTATTGTTCACCATCATCCTATTATGTTATTTAGAACTCCAGCTTCAGACACTCTCCTGGGCTTCTGCTTCTATCATTTTGCCTTCTTTCACAAGTGATTTTTCTCATTTTACTGTGTAGCATTCTTTCTTGTAGTTACTACACTTCACGTTTCATCCAACAAATGACATTTACACTGGTTGCACCCAAATGCACAATTTTAATCTAATTTAGTGAAGTCCTTCCAAAAGCTGCACGCACTTTTACTTTGGTTTAATTTACACTTATTTCAGTTTAACACAAATTGATGTAGTTTATACCCAACCAAAATCAAGTAAATCTTTAAAACAAGTATCCATAGAGCAGTTTAAACCAGCTTTAGCAAGTTTGTTTAAAAAAAAAAAATTAAATTACACTGGAACATCTTTA